CGTAATCACCAGGATCGCCAAACTTGTCAACAGTAGTTTGACCACCTCCCGGACACAAACATCACATCTGTACGGGGCGTTGAGGATGCGGGTAGAGTAAAAAGGGTACACGTGACAACGCAACCTGCTTCTGCTCGTCTGCATCCCTCCCCCGGGATAGGGTCCTTCCTCTGCCCCATCTCAGGGGAGGGATGCAGACGAGCAGATCGTTCTCTCTACTAAGCCTGAGCTTTAGTAAAGCGAAGGATCACTATCACAGGCAACCAGGAAGAGTGCTGCGTTTCTTCACCGTTTGCCCAACTGCCCTAGCACACAGCCCCGCACGAAAGCGACTGGAGTCTGTGCTAGGGCAGTTGCGCCGGAGTCGAAACAAGCATGTGATGAGTTGTGACGTATGCGTCAGGTCACTTTCAGACTGTACGGATGTGATATTCGTGTTTAGAAGGTCAAACTACCCCAGTTGACAAGTTTTCAGTGAACTTGGTGATTCAGGGTATTTTTGCGCGGGCGCCAAAAGCGGATGTGAATTTCATGTTCAGGAGGTCAAACTACCCCAGGAGACAACTTTTTAGCCAATTCTACGGAGAAAAAAATCGATTAAAAACCGCCTGATTCCGGATGATTGGGGCAGTAAAGGGTAAATAGTGCCAAATTCCTTTTGTACGTCGAGTAATATTTAGCGTTCCTGTACTGGTCGTAATCTCAAGCATGGCGCGCTTGAAACAGGAAGATTCGTGAAAAATTTAACAACCGAAAATAGGGACAGTGCCCCCTCCCTTGCTACAGCTACCGAAAATGATTCTACCACGCTGGAGATATTCAACGCACGACGTTTCCTGACTGACACCTCGTCGGATGTCACTGTTGTTTTTGTTTAATCCAAATCGGTCAGGAGAATGACCCCTCCCCTCACATATTTCCGCAATTTTCCTCACCGAGCTTGCTAACGGTTCTTAAGACCATAGAAATTCAGATGCAGTGTAAATGCTGTAATACTTAGTAGATAGGTGAACCGAAGGAATTACGCAATCACTCCATTGCACATTTGCTTTTACATCTTACATTTTTCCGTCAGTACTGGCCTTATTACTTATTCCCGCTTTCCCTTTTTTGTGATTTCGTATGCTTTGTGAACACTCCCCACAGAACTTACTACTTAAAAGCCCTTATTACTGTTACGTAGAGCATGAAAGTCATGAATGAGGCCTTGACGGTTACCTTTTTACACTTGATGCTTTCGCAATTTTCTATGCCAAAATAGCCATGTTGTCCGTGCTTTAGAGGTTGTATTTTTGAAGCTGATGTACGAAATATAGTTTTCATAAGAATGCACGCTTTTTCAGTGTTTTAGTGGGACGAATGATTCACTCCTTTTTTTGGGCTTTTTCCTTACTCTGCGTTCATGCTTTTCGTCGGCGCTCTGAGCGCTTTTAGCGAAAAGGAAAGTACAGGTATTCGATTTAGCGCTTTAGGATAAACGCCAATGTACTAAACGTTTCGGGAGAAACGATGGCGTTTCGAAAAGGGACCTAACGTTTGAGTGAAACGCTCACGCTCTCCCCTTCAAAAACGCTCGTAATACCGTCGAAAAGTATGAAGCGCAGAGCAACTTTACGATGTCTTTCAATACACGCTGTGAGCTGTAAGTAATTGTTGAAGTCTTTAGCGTGAAGTTCTCGATCTCTTACACAACTAGCTGAGAAAACTGTGTAATGAGTAGTTAAGGGAAATATTGTGCTGTGTAGTTCAGTACAATGAATACATGTTAATCTTCTACTTCGAGCCTCAAATCAACTTTTTCACAAACATTCATTGATTCGAAGTTTTCTCTTTGCTGAATTTCGAAGATTGTGTTTCAGAGACATCGCCCCTGGAGATTTGGTTACGATCGGAGAATGCCGTCCATTGTCAAAGACTGTCCGATTCAATGTGTTGAAAGTGAACAAGGCCGGCTCAACGAAGAAAGGATTTGCCAAATTCTAAATGTACCACCACCCGTCGTTGTTTGTTGTTAAAGAACTTCCTCCATGACTCGTAATTTTTTGGATTGTTGAGTCTTGAGAATGAAGTATATTATGATGTTGCCGAGATACTCACTATCAGTACAATTCGCTATATGCTGTCGACATGATATCTGAATGAAATGTCTGCAGAATGTGGGTGGGACATCTCTTGTAGAGCACAAGAGTACTGAAATATTTTATGGTTATGTGAATGAGGACTAGATTAGTATTGGGAATGAAGGATTTTCCCGGTATCAGAAACGGTGGATCGGACAGAACTAAAGCGCGAAATGTAGCGGACCAAGTTCTATGCAGAATTTGTGCAAATCATGAGACCCCTTTTTGTATCATGAGACTGTACCTTTTTCGGTTTTCTCTGGTATAGGTTTAAACCGATAAGCCTTTCTACTGCATTGGCATTTTTCAAAAAGGGCACGAAGTAGAATATTCATGGATTCGGTGGGTTAAGGGACCACATAATGACCTTTTTCAACGTGAGAGGTTTCTGAAGTGCCAGTAAGGTGGGGAATAGGCTACCTTTTTCTAGTAGTTGCTGTGGGACTATTGTAGCGAAAATTCGCCCGAATTGAAAGGCAGCTGCCCGAAGATTCGTACGCGCGCCTAAAATGCTGAGTTTGGCGTAAGTGGGGAAAACGGCGAAGAACCGAGTGAAACGATTAAAATTCCGCGAAGCAAAAATGTCGAGTTTCGTGACTTAGAAATCATTTCTTGAGACGAGTTCCCCGATAGGCATGTTGTCACTACGTTACGAAGGTACGGCTGCATATGTGTTTTCATATATCCATGAAGCAGCGCAGCCGCTTTATACAAATCCTTCGCTTCATAATTTGCTTAGCAAATGAATAAATACGAGCGTGACGCAACGGGCCGGCGGCCCGCGCGGCGGGTTGTCGTGTGGCGTGGGGACCGGGGTTGTTGGGTGCGCGTTCGGCCGTCAGCTATGCTGTTGGCTGACCAGGGCCCTTATGAGGGTACCTTTCTTGGAAAAGTGGCTATGCAGCGCCTGTTCAGGATCGTGGAATCCCATCCTGACACGCGTAAATCCTACTCATCTTTGGAATTATACTAGCCATGCCTTTAAGTCGATAGGTCCGGTTACAGCGGGCAACAAGGTAAGTGCTTCAACTCGCATTGCCTAATCTCCAGTCAGAGACTCGGGTGAGAGCGTTGCGGTGCGTGCGTGGCTTCTCTGATTACCCATGGAAGTAGGAACTGAGCAATAGGGCGGGGTGGTGTTAACTCTATATGAAATGCGCCAGGCACTCGTGTTTCACTCGCAACAGTGGTGACATATTTACGGTTATGTATGTATGGAACCTGGACCAAATAACCCTCTGCGCCAGCTATGAGTTCCTTCATTAGGTCGGCGAAAACATTCGAAAATCAAACAGCTTGTTGATTATAGAGCCCCGCGTTTGTTCTGATAGATTTTCCAAACCACTACACATACATTTCTTCTTTCGCAGGTTCTGCGGATTCTACGGGATTTATGTATCAGCGGGGCAATGATTTGTTCCTCATTGACACCTGCACCTACGACCCTCTTCCCCTCCGGCAAAGTCTCGTACCGCCCCCGCGAGCGAATTCGCCGTCACGACATCTTGAACCTGTAGTGGAAAACGGAGCATAGCGCCACACCAAGATGAGGGAGCAGGTGGGGAATGTTTGCATTAGGGTGCAAAGAGCGCGCCGCGTACTATGCGTTCAAGAAGCGCCTGAGTATAGTAGAAGTGTCTTCTCACTGACTTCCATTCCCGTTAATATGTACACGAAGTACCTTTTACGTGTTTCTATTTTGGATAGATGGAGAGAGTGGTATTTTTCCTTACGGCGGTGGCACGTATTTCCTTTTGCGAAGACTGTTTCGTTCAGTGCACCCCAAAAAATTCATGGGGAACACATCCAGGCGTGTATTAACGACATTCTTTTCATAAAGGGTCTCCATGAAGTTAGGCGAAAACAATCGCGAGTTTTGCCTCTGTCTTGTAACGAAAGCATCCTGGTTTCGTATTCCAGACCTCCCAAAATTTATAGATTGGTGAAGACCGCTACATGCAACTAGCAGCGAAGCGACTTAGCGAGGGCGCCCAAAATCCCTTGCCCCCCCCACGCCTCACGCCCAAGGGGCGTGCAGCGATTTTATTTATGGATGTCGACGAAGAATGTTGAAGATATTTTTTTTGGCGATTTCAGGGCTTCTTTTATATTCTGTGCAGTCATGTATGATGGGAGCGGGTGTTTCTTGTCTACTAGATTCACTTAAACATTGGCCACGGTTCAGATATATCGATCGGAAATTTTTTCAATCAATGTTACGGTATGTTTTATGTCCTGCCCGGTTTATAAGTTATGGTCTTGGTCGCTAAAAAAGTTCGGAAGGGTATTGCTTTAGATATATCACAGCATGCCTCCTTGACATGCACAAGAAGCAAAGTTAAGACCGCGTTCATACTTATGAAGGCTGAGAGGTTCCCCGCATTTAGGAGATTGCGTGCCAAGGAAAATACATGTCTGTACAATAATAAAATACGTTGGTGTGAATCTGGCGACTGCGGAGATTGAGCGATTTGGGAGACTCGGCGTTTCTGGTAACCAAAAAGTGGTTGAGTGTTGATTGGCACCGGTCGCTCGCGATTGCGACGATTCAGTGATCTTGCGATTCAGGAGATTGAGCCATCCGGCGATACGAGAGATGGCCGTATCGCCGAATCTCCGCGGTCCCTAGCGTCCGACGCCGATCGATACATCCACCGCAGTCGCTGAGTCTCCCTCCCTAACTCGCCGGATCGCTTAATCTGCGCAGTCGCCAAATCGCAACATATACTTTCCTCGTCGCGCAGTCTTTCAGATTGCATGTCTTCCAATTCGTCGATTCCCCTTCAGCTGCAAAGTATGAACACGGCGTAATCGATGTGATACCCACTAAGCCATTTTCGCGGATCCTCCTATTCTCCGACAGGTCGCAGACAGTGAACAATGCCCAACCGAATTTGTTTCCAGAATGCACGAAATGCACCCCACATTAGTGATGACATGCTAGAAGAGATTCATAGTGTTTTATCCAACAAAGAGGTAATTTTTATGGATCATACCGGAGCGTCTCACGTACTCATTCATTCTCTGGGACCATCCTTTTATCCCTACAAAGTTCACTTATTTAACTGATTAATTACTGATTTCCTTCTTAAGTTCTCACATGCAACAAGGCTCGCTGCAGCGAAACTTCTGGTGCATTTTTTGGACGAGCATCAAGGGGAATGTGCCCGGCATCCCACCGTCGACTGGGTAATTCTCACAGCAATGCTCGAAGCAGCTGATTCGAAACGTCTAGCGCAAATAGTGAAAACATGGATGGTTTGCTTTGAGAAACGAAGAGTGAGGTGAGCGGTTGATGGAAGCCCTTTTAATTCCATTTGTGTGACAATTTCTGCATTAATTTCCACCTTATGGAGCTTAGAATTTAGTGATTCCGAAGACGAGGCGATGTTCTTGGCAGCCTTAGCTCGAATTCTGCCGAAGAAAGGCATGTGTCTAAGAGAAAGTTTTTCTGTGGATGAAATGAACGCACTCCATCGGTAAGTGCGCTATCTGTGAATGGTAGGTGGTGGTGGTGGTGGTGTAGCACAGACACAATACAGTACGTTACCTGTTAAAAACTAGTTTACGTGTTGCTGACGTCAATTTGCATTTTAACAACTTGTTTTAAGTCGCTATCTATGGTTCAGTCCGAAAACAGTCATTAACGCATTGGACAACGCGTCATCCCTAGAAGGTGTCTGATCTGTGCTACATCTGAGCTAAATGACAAAAATAGCATCAAAAATGAGTGGAAATGATATACCAAAGAGGGTCTCAGCGTAGCCCACAGTGGTGAAATAGAGCATTTGGATAGAGCATTCTGCTTGCTGTTTCTGAGTGATCATACTCACGCTTGAATCCTTCAAACCTCCCGTTTGATCTTGCGATACACCAGTGAAGTTAGGAGGGGGCGGACACGCAACTGGTTATGGTGGGAGGATCTATCACACTTGTAATCTGAGCTGCAGCCCTGCCTAGGCCTGGAGAGCTAGGCTCAGCGTTGGAGAGCTGGAGGGGGATTCACTATCTCTCACTCCGTCTCCCCACCCCCAGCCACAGCAACTTTTTTGCAGCAGCATTTTTTGCGTTTTTTTTTGTCTTACCGCAGAATGTAAGTGTTTTCAAGGTATATACTGCTTACATTCGTACTTATTTCTGAACTGGAACGCGGGTCAAAAATATTTGAGAGTGCAGTGAATTTCGTTGTGAGGACTATGACGGCCGATTCTAAGGTGAGCGATCCTAGACTCAATACTCATGACATAATTACATGATATAATTCATTCGGAAGAAATTTGGCGTGAGGATGCGTTCATACTTTGCCTCAGCGTTTTGAGCGTGCGCCAGCGTTTTGAGCGACAGCCCGTCAAATGTTCAAAACGCTCAAAAACTGGTGTGCGCTCGAAACGGAAGATCGATATCTATACTTTCCCTGATCTTTCAAGACGCTGCGGTACATTCAAAAAGCTGACGCAAGGTATAAGCTTGTTTTAACGATCAGTAGCGCGTACTATGCATGCTTTCAGCTTTTTGACTTTTGTGTTGATGAGCTTGATCCTCATCTCCGCGGTAAATATGGTATTCTCAGGATTTTCCTCAGAGAATTGAGTCCAGCTCAGCGTGATGAAGTGATTGAGGTATTCGTGTGAAAACTTGATCAATAGCTATCAATATTTTTGATTTGGGTGGTTTCAGGTCGATGCCTTTATGAAAACGATCTGCGATCAGTTGGCAAGCAAACTGGACAACCAGTTGGTCACAAATGCAGCTGCAGACTTAGTGGCCACTTTGGTATCCCAATTTCCGACGTCAACTTCTCTTCAAAACCTGTTCGTCCAAAATATAGTCCATCATGTAAAGTTGGTTCTTATTTCTATCGACTTAGTTTACCGAAATGTGGGTGACCTCGTGGGCGTGGTAGCTTTCCTTGTGGTGCACGCAACTGCACTGCGAGACCGCGTTCAAGGTTTGCGAATATGGAGAATCCTCAACTTCGGTGAGTCGGCGACAGAAAAATGGATGGAGATCGTCTCCACTGGCGAATTAAGCCTTCTTCAAAATTGCGTTTTTTCCAAGTACAGGATTTCGCCAGTGCGTGGAATTAATCGAGTCCCATCTAATCTTTTGTCGACGATCTTTCTCCGAAATCGCTGATTCGCATGAAGCCGCGTATACATTGCGGCTTGAGAGAATAGGCGGAGCGGTGATTTGACGTTTTAAAATTATGTCCGCCGGTGGAGTAGATGAGAGTAGATCGACTATAGTCGCTGGTGAACTTTCTTTTCGCGGAGTCGAGTCTTATCTCTTTTTTTCTGACGTCGCCAGATCGATACATATACTTTGCTCTTGCGCCATGCGTCGAACTGCCGCTTCTACTCTTTCGACTCGTGGGGGTATACGCTCGGCGACCGCGCGCTCAATGCCCACGCGTTGCGCCCAGCATTAACTGTAACGGTGATAAAATGAATACCAACAATGCAGGTGCATACGTTCAACCGTAATGAGATGGTTCGGTCGCTTCGATGTGACAAAGGAAAGCTGTCAGTTTCTACTCAATCTACAGAGCTCTATTCGGGAATCTTTTCTCTCCAGGAAGGACGACCTGTGGCCTCCACAAATCTGGGAAACCGAGGTATTTTTACTCGATAAAGTTATACTTTCAGCCTAGCTCGAACTGGAAGACAGAAGCCAGAGTGTCATGGAAGCGGGTGCTGCGTGGGTATTTGATCTGACATTGATTGATCCGGTAATGCATATGTCGGGGCTACCCGGTGACGAGGCTCCAGACAGAAGCGGCTCAGAGACTCGTGTACAGGGGAGGAGGGCCGGCGCGAAGAAAGCAGCCATCACTCAGCTTACTTGAAAGCGCCCATTTTTGCAATTCGAGATGCACGACTGAACCCTTGCGCTAGCTGGCTCAACCTCCAGTCAGAGTTTCCGCCATTTGCGCTGCTTGGGTAGACTGCAGGAGTTCTGCTCCGAATGCCAAGTTCTAAATTATTTTTTTGCAGTCGCGATCAACTTCAAGTAGATAGGGTAAAGCAGGAAATGATGGAGGTCCTAATGGTGACAGTGACGTGACAGGGAGGCACACCTTCCCATGTCACCAACAATCCACAGAACAAAAAGGATGTTTTTTTGGAAAGTTTCTGCGCCTGTTGTTTCTTTTTCCAGTGGGAAGTTAAGTGGCCCTTGTCCTTTTGTTTTTGAACCTTGCTGTCTGCAAATGTTGCTGTCCCGGAATGTTGCTTGATCAAGGTCGAAGGTTGGGTCCGGGCTGAGAACTTGGGTAGCGTCTGGCTTTGTGGGCCCTCTCTTGTGCGCTTGGAGTTCCAGTTCCATTAGTACCAGGACCCAACTCACTCCTTGCGGCAAAGCCACGCCTCATCAAATGCCCCCAAAAGGAAGACTGTTAATATGCGTGCCATGACGTACCCCGGATGTCCCGAACTACCCCCAGGCTCGGGCTTAGACTCGCATGTGAGTTTACAGGATG